CTTTTTTCTGAATTAGCTGGCATCGTGATAGCTGGGTGCCAGCTGAGCAGGCACCGACACTCTGCTCACATAAGTTTTCAAACTTTTTTTTTACATAATATGTATCTACACTGTTTACATACAGAGAAAAAACAATATCATAATGTTTTCTTTTCGGCGTTTTATAGCCATCTGAAAATTACTCGATCTGCTCCGCAGCCGAGAAATCGGCTTTTCTGCTTCTCAATATTTGATTCAGCCAGCTCAAAGCTGTGAAAAGTTGTTCCATAAAACCAGCATGCATGAAAACCCTACTACATACTTTTACGTAATCCACAAGTAATGACGGGTTTTCAGAATAGGTCAAACGGGACTTCCTACAAAATTTTCAAAATCAAACGGGACTTCGTATTGAAAATTCCCTGGTGCCTGCTCGTGCCGAGCCCCGTTCATACCACACTTATCCTCCACATATTCTCAACCTAATTAAACGAAAAAATCCCGTTTATTTTTTACTCTCCAAGAACCTCTAAAACACCCTCTCTATAAAAAAGTTCGCTGTGGATTTGAACTACCACCTTAAGAAATTTCTTTGTAATTTCGAACTCATTTTTGCCAGAAAAGGCAGCAAAACTTTTTTCCGATGTTTTGAAACTAGAACTAAAAGTGTTACGAAGTTACCAGCCTTGTCGGATTCCCCGGAACCCCTCTGGAAAATGATCAGAAGAAGGCGCAAGCTTTGGATCAATTCTTTGCCACTGTCTATGAAAACATTACCCAAAATGCTTCAGATTTCTATCTGCTGTTTCACCCGTCGTTCGTGTCACCGCACCTTTTCATGAGTTACATAATGACACCGATTGTTTATGTAGTCATGAAAAAACTCAAGTCCATGATTTTAGCTACATATGAAGGCATTCCACAAATTGTATACAGAAACTGAGCTGATTCTCTTTGTGTCCCTCTTTCATACATTTATAATTATCGCTCAGTACCCCAAATCTGGAAAGAAGCCCTGTAACACCTATTCCTGAGAAAGAACGCAGTGAATCAATGGCAGATTATCGACCCATTACCATAATACCCTCGGCTGGTAAGATTCTAGAGAGGATAATGCAGCGTAAACTCTACAAAGGGTTTGAAGAAAATCATGTACTGTCAAACGAGCAGCATGGTTTTCTTCCTGGATGTTCAACTACGACCTTACTTTCTGATTTTGTCTTTGACTGGACAACTACACTCAATCATGGCAAATCAATTGAAATCATCTATTTTGACCTTTCTAAAGCGTTTAATAAAGTGAATGATGAAAAACTTATAGTAAAACTTGAAAACTATGGTATTAGAGGACCCGTTCTTTCTTGGTTGTCATCATACCTCCACGAAAGAGAAATCATTTCGTGTTGGATTTAACTATTCTGATCGATACCATTGCAGTAGTGGCGTGTGCCACAAGGTGGTATTCTTTCGCCTCTCTTATTTCTATTCTATGTTGCCGAGTTACCCGCTTATTTGAAGACTCATCCAGAACTCAAATGTTTGCAGACGATATTAAGATTTATTTTTGTTATGAACGAACTCAACAAGCCGTGGCTTTCGAAGCACTTTCGTCTTCAATTCGCTTTGTGTCTGATGATTGGAACCTTCCGGTAAATCCGGCAAAGACTACAGTAATGCACGGTGACTCTCCATGTTGCATGTACTACTACAATGATACTGAACTCAAAACGTTTAACCTTGTAAGAGATCTTGGTGTGTTGATTGATAAATCGCTTACATTTTCCTCACACCTTGATTTAGTCTTTAAAAAATCGTATTCTGTTCTCTTCACTATCTTGAGAAGCATCCATAGCGAAGATCCTGATGTTTTTCTAACGTTATACAAAAGTTATGTCTTACCACTCCTTGAATTCGCCTCTCCTATATGGAGTCCCTACTTTAAAAAAAGTATCGAAAAACTTGAAAAAGTCCAAAAAACTTTTACGAGGATACTTTTCTATAGATACTACCCAGATCCTGATTATCCCAAATCACTATCTTGCTATCGATGTCGTTTAGAAAAATTAAGGTTTCAGAGTTTGAAACACAGGCGCGTCATTAGCGATCTAGTCCTTGGTTTTCAAATTTTACGTTTGGAAACTAAGCTGAAGGCAAGTAAGTACTGGTGTTTTAGACCTTGCAGTCGTCGCACAGGTAGGTTTAAAATGCGTTACCGTAAACTAGGAAACAGAATACTTTCTGTAATGTTTGACTCTTTTGTTTACCGCGTATCTAGATGGTTATCCTTATTACCATCAGAATTAATAAACAGCAGAAATTCCAGGATTTTCCGCAAAAAACTCAATGATATTGATTTGCTTCGGATTTTGAAAATTCATGATTTTTAGGATCAACAAGTTTGCTATTTCACACAGTATCTAGTCCTTTCCTTCAAAACGTTCGACTGCACACATCCTCAAAACATTGGCATTTGTGTAATTTTACACGTCACCTAATCCAGAATGTCCGAAGACCATCGTAATTTATTTCACTGCTGAAAGACTGAGACACTATAGAAAACATATCACTTGTATTCAGTCAATTTTCAAACAGCGTGATTCTACCTAACTTTTCTTGCTAACATTAATTATAGCAGAATCTTGACTACTATTGAGTCGTTTGTATTGTTGATGTAAACTGGAATGAGCTCAGGGGTTAACCAAGGCACGCATGGTTTCGCCCATTCGCCTTGCCTCACCCTGCTTATCAAAATCTGGTTAACAGAAAGTGAGATAAAGCGAAAGTGAATATGCTTGATCTATACACGGTACCCAGGATCAAAAAAAACCTTAGTCAAAGTAGTCAATTTTACATGCTAATTCTGATGTCATGTCATATTGGTGTGACAGTATCAGACTGACTTTCGAGACTGAGTGCGGCTGTTATCTGAGAACATTCTTCTTTCTTTCAATAATAATGATTTCAGGTTTCTGTCTTGTCTTTACTAATCCTTTTTCGCTTTTTAAATGAGTATTAATTGTGACCTATGATTTATTAGGTTGGCACGAAATTTCTTGCGTAATTCAAACAAAATTCAATAACTTTTCAAAGACTAAACCTAAATTTACAACCTTATATGCTAAAAATATTAGAAGCCTTACGCTTCATGATAGATGTTTAAGCATAAGATTCCGCGAAATGGACATCAAGAAGGATGCTCTCGAATATGGGGCTTCAAATTTTGCGATTTTGAGTTTGATGCCAGAAAATCGCACAGTGCCGCTAGCTAGTTGAAAAAAATCTGTGGAATTTCCTTACACAACAAAAGTCCATATGTTAATTTGGAAGGCTTTGATCTTGCACGGTGAAGCAAGAACATTTTTCCACAGAAACACAATTTGCAACCAGAAATTGAACATAGGGCCTATTTAGAGCCTTGCGACGTTTTCTCGATTGTAAAAAAGCGTTTTCGCCGGAGAACTGCGGACATGAGGGAATTTTTCCGCAAAATGACATATTTCACGAATTTTTTGTTCTTGCTTCACCGTGCAAGATCAAAGCCTTCCAAATTAACATATGGACTTTTGTTGTGTAAGGAAATTCCACAGATTTTTTTCAACTAGCTAGCGGCACTGTGCGATTTTCTGGCATCAAACTCAAAATCGCAAAATTTGAAGCCCCATATTCGAGAGCATCGTTCTTGATGTCCATTTCGCGGAATCTTATGCTTAAACATCTATCATGAAGCGTAAGGCTTCTAATATTTTTAGCATATAAGGTTGTAAATTTAGGTTTAGTCTTTGAAAAGTTATTGAATTTTGTTTGAATTACGCAAGAACTTTCGTGCCAACCTAATATAATGGCGCACTTCTTGTGCAATAAATATAATAATTTAATATACTAGGTTGGTTCATAATTAATGCACGTTTTTCTCACCTCTTCTTCCAAGAGCTGGTATTTGACGTGTAATCAATTTCCTCAAAACCTATTACACTATCTAAAAGAGCGTTTTTTAGTTTCTTGTGCGGCGCTTCGCTTTCGTAAATCTCCGTTCATTCCAAAGTTCTGAGCCTTCATAAGAGACTAAATTCTTTTTGCCCTAAATCCATGAGAAATAGCCGGATTAATTTCAAAAAATATGCATAAGGATTAGAAAACTTTGTGCTACAAGATGCTGTTTGAACAAAATTTTTCGTAAATTCTGAGCGGAGAAACTCAATTGCGAACTTGAATGATCGTCGCGGCTCTTCCGTGCCATATAAAACTTTGAAGCAAAAGGCGATTGCAGGTCTTTTACACTATCCAGCAAGGGTAGACCTAGGGTAGAGGGTAGTTCATTTGATGGTGGAAAAGCGCTAGGGTTTTCTCACTTTCCAGCGGAGAAAAATGAAATAATTTCAAAAATGACCGATTTTTGAACCCGGCGAGATGCCAGAAAAAAGAGTACTTTCAACTTTCTTGCAATATCTTCTTTCGAAAATTCTCCGATAAATTCAAACTTGGCCTTACTGCTCAAGAGACCCTTGGCTACACGAAGAGCGAAGTCTGCTTTATCCTACTTCATTTCAACATATGTTATGCTCTCTCAAAGTGGAGCCTTCTGAAAAAAGTTGTTGGCAATCTTCAGGCCAGAAAATCTTTCTTGTGACAGATACAAAGCAAAAGTATCTGTTTTATAGCCACTAATTTGCTGGTTACACTAGTTTTTATTGTGCCCAAAAATGTCTTTTCAAAAAAAATTATCTCCGTTGAAAGTTGGAGTATATAAAACGTGCATTATTTATGAATTAATCTAATATATTGCTAGCTCTGGTTCGAAATGGCAGTCATAGACAAATCGGCCTCCTCGTGAATGTGTTAATGGGAGCGGGACAAACTTCAGCAACTGCGCTTACATGTGGGATTCTAGGCAAACCCATTGGTGGGGCCTAAAACGTCCGCGTTGATCTGACGATGGCGATACACCAATTTTAATGGAAACACATAATACATGATTTGTCTGGACAACAGCAGATTACATAATGTGGAGGCCGCGATTCATTATGGTTCATTTTGAACTATTAATGCAAATGTTTGGTGCGTTTCAAGAATAGAGCTGTGTTGTGCTACCGTTGTCTTACTATTTTGTAAGACGAACAAGCGCCATAACTCGACTTTGGCTTCTTCGCTGGAGGTTTTATGAACTAAAGTTTGACTTTCAGAACCACTCGTTCTATTTTTATTGGCTTTTCTGCCCATTACAACCTCTGTGAAATGTCAGCACTATTCACCATTAACACATCCGAATGTAAGAACAAAATGCACACTTGCATAATTTGGTAGAGTTACAGAAGCAACTCGTTCACAGCTTCTACTGTGCTTTCACAATGACGGAAAATTGCGAGAACGGAGATTATATGGAGGGTCCTCCGTGGAACCTTAACAGGGTAAGTCCTCTTCGTCCTTGAATGCTTAGTTGGAAGTCGAGATGGGAAGGATAAGCAAAAATGTGACATTAAGCATCTTGTACATACAGGGTGTCCCAAAAGTAACTACACACTTTTCAATCGTTAATATCTCTCTTCCCATTGAGTCTTTTTCTGCCGTTCAAGTAACATTTTCTAGAGAAGGCTTCAACTTAGATACATAGTATCAAGCGTATCACTGTCCACTCTTCATTACTGTAGGATTACTGTGAGAACTTCGACAAGGATTTCACGCATTGTAGGCCATATTTTGCCTCAGAACAAAACCAAAGAAGCTAAAAACTCCTATACTAATTGAATTTGCTGATTTCAAGTATGAAACTTCCACTCGATCGTGATGCTTCTTTCCTGAGTTATCTCAGGTAAACCGTAATAATCGAGTTCCCAGCATTTGTCGGAAATGTAATTACACTGTCAGAAAAGCTAAAGACACTTGTAGAAAGTTGTGTAGTGGGATCCGTGTCGAAAACCCTAGTACACGATTTTTCAGACCTTTTGAAAAGAATAATTGTCAGATGGCATATTTCACAATGGGTCCACATGCTGGAAGTTCTTACCGTAATCGTACAGTAACGAAGAGCGATCGATGAACGCTCCATAATGTAAATTTAAGTTTAACCTCGCCCTACAAAATGGTGTTTGAATGGCGGATTGAGACCCAGTGGGAAGAGAGATATTGACGATTGAAATGTGTACTTACTTTTGGGACACCCTGTATTATCTACAATCGCTTGATATCCCTTCTCCAATCTCTTTGCTCCAAACGTCAAGCTAAAACATATATATATAAGGTTGGTGCAAAAATAATGTCCGTTTTAGGGTAGGGGAACGAATCCCGCCAGTTTAAGCCCGCCTTTTGGCAACAGGCATTTTTGCTGCAGGACCAGTAGTCCGCAGAGGCCGTTCTGGCGGAGTTCGTTCCCCTACGCTCCGTTTTTTAATCCACTTTGAAAAACTATAACTTTATCCAGTCTCCATATTTTCGAATGCAACCAAGAGAGGAGCAGTAAATTTTGCGTAACTTAGCGCGCACCTGCTTACACCGGCAGGCAAACGGGAAGAAAACATGTTACAAAACCGAAACTTTTTCCCTTGAAAACTTGGTTTTTGAGAGATCACAACTCCCTTCAGGTCTTGTTTCTATAGCTGCGAATCAGCTTAACTTGTAGATGCGATCTTTATGTTTTTTTATTTTGCTTTATAAATACACTCGAGGTGCACCAGAGCAAAGAAATAAAAGAAGATCCAAACAAACAATGAGACCAGCCAGTCCTCAGCCGCTAGAGAAGATAAAAGAAAGTACGGAATGAAACAGAACTCGAAGCTCTTGACCCAGCTTGTGAAGTTGAACGAAAGTAACTCGATCAAAAACAATCACATGAATCTTGCATACTCTAAAATCAAAGATGCCTCGTTTTTGGGTGTCAACGAGCCCGCCGGTAAGGCTAGCTGACCTGACCCCATTAAAAATTAAATTTTAGAGGAAGCAAGATTCGGATTAAGAGTGGCAGAGTAAACAACTACCAACTACTCCAGAAGGCAGTTCATAGGCGGATACAATTTGGAGTGCCCTAGTTGGGAAACTAGGCTTCGTTATGGCAATAAGGTGTGATAAAGCTTCTGACGAATGAGCCGGGCTGGTTCATTTAGTTATGATGCTTATGGTTAGTAACAACCAGTAAATAAAACCAGGCTAAAGAATCAAGCTGCAACTGAAGAACACCAGGACTCGGCTCCGAAAAATGACCGTGCGGACCGAAAACCAAGAAGAGAAAGAACTGGTAACTGAAAAACGACAAAATTAAAATCATTCCAAAAAGCTTAGGGACGCAAGCTGTGTGTCAGCTCTCATCAACTTAGCCCTAAAGGAGCGTGCAGTCTGAGAACACATAACATCCATAGGCAATCATCTTGTAGTATTTATGTAGAAAAGACTTCAACAAAAGAATTCTGCGAAAAGAAGAGGTAGAAAAACAAAACTGTCACTTTTTTAAGCCTACCTATATATCATAACTTATAATAACGGGCTAAGGATGTTTACGTGACTTTGTGTGTCTGTGTGTGAGTGTGTCTGTTACGAAATTCGTGGAGCGTGTCCCAGCCAGCGTTCTAAGCCCAAATTTTGTATAGCGCATGCTACCTTTATGAAAGTCCAACATGCAAAAGCACGAGTAAATTCGTTGAGTGGATCCCTCAGAAATTGCGCGCCGAACGGGTCCACCTGGCTTCTATATCGCAAAATTCGGTCCGTATCACCACTTTTTGCCGAGTCGTAGATGAGTTTGGTAGGCAACTGTGCAAGCGATGGAGTTTAGTCCGAAAAGTGGTCGAAAGTTTACTGCATAGCGAAAACGGCGCCAAAAAGAATTGGTTTTGTAAATGGTGAATTTGCCAAAGTTCTAGCTAAGCGCTTGAGAAGATTTTCGCACAGAGATATAGCTCACTCACGGCTACTATTACCTTTATGGCGACTACCAAGCCATGACAAATCCAAAAACCTATTCAAATTTACGTTTGTCTTCCTGCGAAAAGTTTCATCCACGCGAAATCACCGATCTCACGTGAAAAAACTTTCTAGAGTGGTTGTTTACATTTTATTCGTGGTAGTCGGCATAGCGCGGTGAGTTCCAGTGCCACGATTTTACGAGAATGAGTAAGGCACATAGATAGTAGAGCCAGTGCGAGCCTCTGCGAATCAGAGGTGACGCACTGGTATATATATAAAACTCAAACAGTGTACCTTTGTTTGTAAGGTTTGTGGCTTATAGACTCCCTTGTATGCGAACCGAAGAGGCTGAAATTTTCTCCCTTATAAACAAGCCACGGCGCAGAAGATAGGCTACTTTTCGCAACCATTCACTGGGACCTTCCATCGATTTATTGATTTGTTTACTTACATCTAGCAAAATGATAGCTACATCATTCATTTTTCCAAGTTAAGTAGTAAGAGGCAGTGATCATTTACATTTTGCGGTGAGGTGGATGCGGTGTCACGAAGCGAGGCGGGCGATCAAGGAGGAAGACAATTACTGCGGGTACCAAGAGCGCAGCAGTGCAAACCAGGAAGAAAAGCAGGGAGGAGAAGGAAAGAGCGAAGCGAAAGCGGCGGTTATAGCAGCCCGCTCGCTGCCAGTTCTGACACGGTTATCAGCGGGAAGAAACAGTGAGGCGATAAGGCCACAGCGCTTTTGGTGAGTTTTGGCGGTGGTTTTGTGGCTGCCCGCTGAGAGTCTTTGATTGTCTGAGTAATTGCATGCCTTGGTCGAGCAGTGAGCCGAGAATGCCTCATTACGGTCAAGTTGTCCTTTACATGCACGATGTCTCAGCCAAATAATGGCCTTTAATGGCTTATGATCTCATCTACACAAGTGTTCTGTAAATAAGGAAGACAGATTTAGTAGCGTTTTATGCTGCATTTAATGGTATGCGGCTTGCTCAAACTGACCACTTCAATTTCGTCTATTCCCTTGTAAGCTTTCTGCAAAAGTCGAGGCAAGATGTCCTGACCTCAAGCATACAGTAGCGAGTTTCGGCCTTTGCTCCCATCCTATAGAATGTCACATTGCGAGTATAGGTCTTTTGAAACCTGAATGCCCCCGCCGTGCCTTGAATACCAATTCAAGCGAGCGGTCGCCGCGAACGGCTGTAAGCGTTCAGTGTTTTTTGAAGAATTTTTCGTCAACTTCTATGTCTTTCCAACAATGTATAACACATATTCTGACGGAAACTTTCGAAGCTTATAAAAATATGCGTTTAAAGCAGCGCTCGCTCGTCGCTTGCGACAAGCGTGAGCGCTACGGGACCCAACCTTTCCATCCGCCCCACTTGGTGTTCAAAACGATTCGATTTCAAAAAGCCTTAATTTGTAATTATTTTGCGGCGCCAATTTCTCATTCGAAATATATTCGAAAAAATTGATTAAACATGCAATAGGTAAACAATATTCACTCATACAATGGCTGCTTTCAAGAGAATTCGTTTATTTGCGCCCGAGTTGTGTCCAATAAAGTTAAAGCAATGAAATTTTTATTTTGTTTGCGGCTATGCTTGCTGGTGAAATTCTCACAGATGGGATAGAAGCTTAATTTCACCACTGTTAGAAAGTATATGGAGAAAGCTTTTTAACGATATGCAGAATATATACCGAAAAAGGATGTTGGAAAAAGAATTGTTCATAAGCCTAGAAAAACGGACGGTATTTTTTGGACCATTCTAGTAGTTTCAGTTGCAGTTGAGCGATGAAAACATGAGAATAGCTAAAACTCATGGTAATAAAGCAGATCTAACATAAGAGAAGAAAAATATATTGTCGTTGGTCTGCCACATCATAAAATTACATATCCTCGAGTCATTTGTATCTTAATATGTGAAAGTGCACACTCTGTGCGGCAAGCGACGGCACCTTACCAGTAACTTTTCAGTAAAACCTTTTCTAGACTAACGAACCCTAAATTCGTGTTCTACTAACGAGATATATCCAACAAAACAGACAGACAGACAGGGAGAAGTTATTGGAAATGAGCAGGTTCTAATCTTGGAGTTCGTCAGATAGCGCGCATGGTGTGCAATACGCATATTAAGTTACGAATGACTCGACCAAAGGTAAACAGGCATTACAAAATAATTAAAAACCGAATCTTTTTTTCTTTTCAGAAACTACGCTCTCGTAGTGATTTTTTAAGCTTGCGCTTATCCCTTAACTTGTGACCAATGTTTTTCAAAATAGGCATTGCAAAAAAATAAAGACGTTTAGCTCTTAAACTGTTCTTCAGGAAGGGGACAAGTGTTTTATTCAGTCGAATATGCTTGCATGTTCTTGTTCCAAAAGTGACTTCTGTTCAACCGACCACAAATATATTTGGGTAAGTTTTCGAAACATGAGTTCGTAATCCTGTCACAATTCAGAAGCTCTGGAGAAAATCTTCTGCCTTCAAGAAGGATAGCTTATTCACCGAATGTTTAAGAAATCTTGCAAAAATAGGTTTTCATGAATTTTCGCTTAAGTCACAACTATTAGATCACTTCAGATGATGATGAAGATGACCTTAGTGAAACGATCTCTCTCGATCGTGTAGGTACGTTTATATATGTTGCTTTATTCACTTGAAGTATGCCAAAACAATGCCTTCTTGTGTTTTGTTTGTTGACGCTAGAGAAACCCTTCAGTGCTGTGCGTTGCATCAAGCAACAAAGTGAACTTTTACGAAAACATGAGCATTGCAGTAATCTTGGAGGACAATCTGGCCGTATCGAAAGCGGTGGCCAAACATTTAATTTCGGTATCCTTGTGAACTAAGAACCTTTCTGAACTGAAAACAGAAGCAAGGTTCAAATCCACAGACCATACTTCTTCATAGGCCCATCAGTAGCGAACAAGGTGTGCTCTACCTTACGAGGAAACGGTCAGAAATTAGTTCAGCCATTCCGAACAAGCTCTGTATCACCAGACTTGTCTTAAAACTCTGATTTCAGATATATGTTTCTTTATCTGCCAAGCGACTGACCATACTATATTTACCAAGTGTTACGAGCGGGGTTATGAGCGTTCAAAAATGAGAAATGTTTCGAGTTTTGACGAATATATTTATTTGAAAGGCAGCCTGATGGTGCGGATTTACATGGCTTTTGTTAATTTGATTATAGGGAAGAAGCACATTCTCTAAAAATCTGAATAAGCGTTTTTGAAAAGTATTTCGTGGAACATGCGCCACAAAACACTTGGTAAATCCCACATTCAAACGGTCATAACTCCTTTCAAGCACTCGCTTGGCAGATAAATAGCAAGTCGAAGACGAGCCATTTTTGAAGGTCTATCCCTGTGACGAACCGTTTCCGGGCATTTTCACAGCCGGCTGCATATATACGCTGCTGCATGACGAAGGCGCAATATCTTTGGACGCGAACGCGGCTTTATTAGCCGCAGAGCGCATGAGGTGCAGGATTTACAACGGTGAGGATATGCGCGCGCCACGCCCGCTCAACTAATACGGCTTTTGCGCCTTCGTCATGCATTAGCCTTTATGTATGCATGCGTCTATGCGTGAGATACAAAAATGCAAGTGGGCGGGGCAGGTCCGCCCATTTTTGGCAGGCTCCGCCCACTTTTCAAAAATGCTGGAAATTGCTCAAAATCGATGAATTCATGCAAATTCCGGCACTTTTGAAAAGTGGGCGGGTCTTGCTACTGAGGGGTGTAACCTGCATTACGGGGGGCGCGGTCAAAATTAAGAATATTTAAGGTTCTCCAGTCATCTACGAGCTTTTCTATGCGATTTGAGGACGAAAAAAGTTTTTTGTAGAAGGCAATGGAGTGGGCGGAGTTTGCCAGAAAAAGGGGCGGGACCAAATACTTCTAAGCCTAAGTTGATTATGTGAACACAAATCGGAACCAGTGTGCACAATAGAAGTGATGTTTTGGGTGTCACTCACCATTGCGTGCCATCGTCCACACGGACAGACTGCCTGTCGCACACCATTGCGTGCCACCATCGTCACGTGTTAAAAACTATTTGTAATCAGCGTTTTAAGACGATTCCGATAATATATAGCGTGTCTTGTATGGCTGGGTCAAGTTCCGACCATTCCCTCCTTAGCTTTCGCTGCAGGGTCATACACGTCAAGAACGAAGACGCGGCTTAAATAGACATCTTCAATCGAAAAAAGGGAACAAAAGTTGCCTGGCGCCATCAAATTCGCCCACTACCGGCCAGCGTAAGTGCTCCACGTACAGGTGCCATGTCGAATGAGACTTGTGTGGCCAAGGAATCCAAATCGCAGAAACCCAGCCCATTTCAAAGCTACTGAGCAACAGCCTTCGCCATCTTCTGGGCATGCGACAAATGCATTCCACTTCGTATTCGACGAGTTTTTTGAGACAACGTCGCCTAATTGTTTCCAGTACCTATTTACAAAAAAACTTGCAGCTGCTTGCAGGTGGGTTTTTGTGTATTGCGCGAGACCCATTGCGCAGCGGTGGGTCCTCGCAATACAAGCGTATAGAACAATGCTAAGGTCATCACAGTGTTTTGTGAATTTTTGGTGACCAATCAAACAGGAAAACTTTCGGACAACCTAATATTTGATTTGGATTTACCTTCTATTCCAACAACGACGATTGTATGTGTCATCTGTCGCTCATCTCTAAACTTATGATGCCCAACGTTTGTGACTAAACCCCTTTTCTATCTTTTGAATAGAATCTTCTATTCCAAAGGGTAGTCGTCAAACTTTGCACACATATGTTTTCAACCCCAAAAGAGAGCGCCACCCTTTGGTTCGTTTTAGAGCTTTCAAGGGAACGAGAGCTATCAATCAGCACTGATTACCCCATGGTCAAAAGGGCGCGGTAAAACTCATTTTAGTCTGGATCAAGGAAGCGAAGAATCGAGGTGAAGCTGACCCCAAGTAAGTAAATGGAATGGAGAAGGGTAAGGATGGAATGGTCGCAGTACAATAACTATGCTGGTGACCGATACAGCCTCTACTCCCAGTGAACAACGTGGGTTGGGACCGGGAGAACCATCTAGCCCAATGAATTAGTCATTTATTGAACCTCGTTGTTTGAAGGCCAAGTTCTTGATTATAAGTATTCATGCATGCACGCAGCATATCAATACTTACAGATTATTTGTATTAGACTCTTTTATAACAGGCCCAAAATGATAGAAAAAACAAGCTTGGGCGATACTCACGCATAGCGCAAAGGCGTACATTAATGAGCTGTATATGCGGAAATACGTATTGGTTGACCTCATCGATTCATCTTTTGGCGTTTTTGCGTAGGAGTTCTATTAAGTTCCATTGTCCCATGAGCGCACCAGCTTTGATCCGCCCCGAATTTGAAGAAAAAAATCAAAATGATTCAGCTACCTGAAAAATTCAGGGACATTCTTACCCTAAAAAGTCTCTATGCTCAAGTGTACATTATCCTTAACAAGCATTCTTATACAGGGTATCCCAAAAAAATGTGAACACTATTTAGTCGTTGATAACTCTCTTGCATTTCTTTCGCCAAGCTTGAGGTATCGTTCTGTAAAGCAATGTAATTTGGTTCTACAGTATCGATCGAATCAATAATCATATCAATCACTCTTTATTACGATTACGGTAGAACTTCCAGCATAAAACGCTACTAGGTTTGGTGGAAAATTTCCAAAAAAAATCTGGAAATTTGTAGTAGGGTTTAGTAAAGTTCTCAAGCGTGCTGATTCCAGTACACAACTTTTCATCAGTTTTTTTAGCTCTTTCAATGGTGTAATCACACTTTCGACGAACACTGAAAAAACAGATGTTACCTTAGACCTGAAATAACTTATGAAAGAAGCATTACAGCGAAGTGCAAACTTCTAGAATCAGCGACTTCGATTAGTTCCGTGCAGGAGATCTTCTGGCTTGTTTGGTTTTCTTTCTCAGGCAAAAATCGCTTTCACTTTGCTAAAATCCTTCTTAAAGTCCGTACCGTAGTCCTACAATAATAGAGAGTGATTAATTCGGTCCATACTGTTAATCTAACAAGGGAAGGATACTTGGTGACCGTCGCTTTTTGCGGTGAGATGTATACCAATAGATGTGCCTTGAGACGCTGATTTAAAATCTAGGTTCACTATCTGTTGTGCGAATCTCTGAAGGAAGTTATATACTTTTTCCATATCAATTTCACGAGATATAGACGGTTGTTATCGTCAGTACCCAGGCTTTTTTGACTCGGATGATTTGGAGACAGTTCTTCTGAGGTCAACGTAGAGGTTCATTTTATTTGAACGCTCTTTGATAGGTGCATAACTGGCCTTTTTAGCGCTATTGGTGAATCCTCTCATTAGAACAGTGCAATTTTTGGTATCAAAAACTGTTCATAACTTCTTTTGGAAGAGGGCGCAACAGATATCGAAGGCAGATTTGGAATCAGCGCGTCAAGATGCATTCAGTGGTATACGTTTCATTTCAAAAAGCCACGGTCACCAAGTATCCTTTCCTTGTAAGTTAAACCTCGCACTACAGAATGATTTCTAGTTATCATCGATCAAACAAAAAAAGGAGAATTTTCATGATTTTGTCAAAGTGATACTATACTGTTCATAGTTATTGCAATACTATTAGGTTGTCCGGAAATTAATGTCCGTTTCGAATTTCAACCGCAATAAGTCATACACTTCTCAGTTCTATATAGTATGCAAAGTACCATTCGATAGAGCAAAGCAAGCACACGATGGCAATCTTGCTTTATTGCCAGCTCTGATCCATCTCGAGTTTCAAGCCAAAAACTAAAAGGATTCAACTGCTCGAAAAATCGAGAAAAATCGTAACCCTGTTCATGAATATCCTACAAAAATTCTAACTTGTCCACGTAAACACAGTCTACACAAGACATCTATATATGCCGTTGCCGTATTTCTTCCTCTGTTAGAAATCAAAAAAAAAAACGGAAATTCTCGTGCATCTGCCAAAGTGATGCTGTGCTGTCCCCACATAGGTAGTTGCGTACTACAAACCTGTAGAAGTACAAACGTAAATTTTCAGCTCTGTGCAAGCTTTAGTTCTCGAGAAATATCGAATACAGCTTTCCCAAGTCAGGGGGTCCAAACTGAAATTCAGATTTCTCGAGAATTATAGCTTATAGAGAGCTGAAACTTTACGTTTGTACTTGTACAGGTTTGTAGTATACAACTACCTATGGAAGCACAGCATCACTTTGGCAAATGCACGAAAATTTCCGTTTTCTTGATTTTCAATAGAGAAAAAAATACGGCAACGGCGTATATAGATGCCTTATGTGGATTGTGTTTACGTGAGCGAGGTAGAATTTTTGTAGGATTTTTATAAACCGAGTTACGATTTCTCTCAATTTTTCGGGTAGCTGAATCTTTTTAGTTTTTGGCTCGAAACTCGTGGTGGATTGAAGCTGTTGCTAAAGCAAGATTGCCATCTTGTAGAGCTTACTTTGCTTTATCGAATGGTACTTTGCATAATATCTAGAAATGAGAAGTGTATGACTTATTGTGCGGTTGAAATTCAAAACGGACATCAATTTCCGGACAACCTAATACATACCTGTAGAAGGTAAGTTTTAGCTCTCTAC